ATATATATGTATATAATATATTTAAAATTTATATATTGTATATATGTTTTTAATATTTTATATGTATATTTTAATATGAAAAAAAAAAGAGAAAAAAAAAGAAAAAAAGAACAAAGAAAATAATATGTATAAAAAAAATGAAAATTTTTGGAAAGAAAAAAGGGGAAAAGAAAAAAAAAGGGGAAAAAAAAAAAAAATTTTAAAAAAAGGGGGGGGAAAAAAGGGGGGAAAAAAAAAGGGGGGAAAAAAAGGGGGGGGGGAAAAAAAGGGGGAAAAATTTGTTTTTGTTTTTGTGTTTTAAATTGTTTTTTTTCTTTAAAAATTGTTTATGTTTCACAAATAATTATTTATGTTTAAATGTTTTTTTATTTTTTTGTTATTTTTTTTATTGTTTATATATATGTTTATAAAATTGTATTTTGTTTATATATATACATATGTATATATGTATATATATATACATATATATATATATATATATATATATATACATACATATATATATATGTATATATATATATATATATATATATATATATATATATATATATATATATATATATATACATATGTATATATACATATATATATATATACATACATATATGTATATATATATATATACATATGTATATATGTATATATATATACATATATATATATACATACATATATGTATATATATATATATATACATACATATGTATATATATATACATACATATGTGTGTATATATATATACACACTCATATATATATATATATATTTCTGATACGTTATTATTCTTCTTTTTTTGTAGGTTATCCTCAGATTATTATTATCTTTGAAATAGAACCAAAATCTGATTGATATCTAGATATTTAACTTATTTTTAAATGCATTTTTACATTTTAAGTAATTTCTTTATTTCAACTGATAATGATCCTAGAGGATATCAACTTCTACATTCAAAAAGATATTCACAATCTTATGACGAACTCAAAACACAATTTATTGCATCTCAACCAAGAATAAATATCGTCTTAATGCACAAACGATGTCACAGTTTCTTATTAACGTGCAAAACTTATTTTGATAGTGATTTCATCAAAATTTATTTTAAAACTTATAAATCGCCAGAATAGCAACCATTAATTATTTCAATTCCTCTTTGTTTGAAATTTTAGCTTTTTTAAAAAGACCTTTTAAAAAAAAAAAAGTTCTTTTTTTGTGGGGCGGGGTGTTACACTAATTCAGAAAGTTGAAATATTCCACACGATGGAACATCAGTACATTTGGTTTTAGTAGCACTTTTTATGACTTAGAGACCGACCCTTTATTCACTTTTTAATGTTTCAAATTGATTTTTATCGTTTAACCATTAAAAGTGTATTTTTTTCTATTTACCATTGTTTAGGTACCTCCAAATAAAGGCATGCCTAAATTTAAAATTCATATAAAGAACTAAAAATTATTCTTGAAGTTTTCTTTAGGTTTTAATTCCAAGCTAATATATTAAATTGAAGCAAAATATTTTGGTGTGTTTCAAATAAAATTTAAATTGATTGGAAGTATCTTTTAATCTCTAAAATCGACGATATTGACAAATTTGTCAACACCACATAATTATGTTTATTAAGAAAATTTTCAAAAATAAAATATACTTTTCTGAAACGTTATTTGATGAAAATCAGCTGATTTATAGTTTAATTAATCTGAATTAAAACAAATATTAATTTTAGTTTAAATTTCGCAGAAAAGCATTTTTAAACACGGAGTGGCTGTTTTTCTGACGTATTGCGTGGGAAATTTAAGTAAGACGTATAGAACTTAAAATAAAGTACTTGACGAATACAAGGTGAACGCCTTTATTTTTTAAGTACCCCGTAATCTTAAAAATTTACGAAAATATTTTAGTTTAATGTTAGAAAAACCAATAAATTTAATGTTTTATAGTTACCTTTTTTATTGTCTGAAAATGTCATGTATGGATATCCATATTTACAAAAACTGCCACATTTATACATACACGCATAAAGAAAATCAAAATTATTTTTAAAATACTAGGCGTCATTGAGTCGTAACGAGCTTTCCATTTCTAATTCGTAAATTCAGTTTAAATTTAATAACAATATCATTTGATGGCTACAAATTAATATTATAGAATTTTAAAAGTTTATAAATTATTCTAATTAAAATTTAAAAAAATGAAAACAATTCTTGTAAAAAATCAGTATTCATCGAATTTAAGACTGTCCCTAATATATTTTATTCATAATACCAATTAAAATCTTTTCTAATTAAATAATGTCTTAGTTTTATTTCATTTTTTTTTATTCTACGATTCAGAACAGATTTTCTGTAATTTTTAAAAAAGTTTCTATAAATTTTAAAATATTTAAAATTTTATAAATTATTCTAATTAAAATTTGAAAACAATTCCGGTAAAAATTCATTATTTATCGAAAAAATGTTATTTCTTAAGACCTAATACTGCCTAAAATATATTTTATTCATAAAAGCAATTGAAAGATTTCTAATGAAAAAAGTGTCTTAGTTTTTATTGCATTTTTTATTTTATGATTTTTTTATTTTATTTTTAGGATTCAAGGCAGATTTTTACAACTAGGAGATGGGTGGTTATTAGTTGACCAAAAATCTTTGATTATTTAACTTGTCTGAGAAATTTTCTTTGTTATAAATATAAACTTTTAAGCGATGCAAAAAATAATTTCTCGAAATTTCATAACATTTAATGTGCGGGAGATGTCATAAAAATATTTTTACTAAAATTTTCTAAAAACAAACATTTAAAAAATAATTTAATTTCTAAATAAATCATGAAAGCTTCATTAAAGTGTAACAATTATCTGATTTTTGCAAGAATTTCTAAATTAATGTTTCTCACCGCAAAAAGACGCTCAAATTTAAAAAACATCACGCGTTGACGTAAAAAATAAATAAATTTAATCAAAATTTCCCAGGTTCTAAAAAAGATTTTTAAAAAATTATTTGTATATTAAAAATCCTTTGATATTTCCTCTCAATACAAAGGTTTTTTGACGATAACATTTTTTATTATATATGCTCCTTTAACGAAGGTTTGGAGGTACGTATCATTGTGGTAACGTCCAAAGAATTTTAAATAAAGATGGATAATAAAATAGTTAAAATTAATTTTTAATTTTATCGGTACTTTTTTTTTTTTATTTCCGTTCAATTCACAACATCTGAAGCTAACATCATTTTTACTTTAATCATAAAAAAAGTGCTTGACTTGAAGTGCTCTTTGTTAAATGTTACTGAAAAAAGTGCGTCCGATAAAGTAAATTTATCTTCTTTCAAAAATGTTCTTAAATCAAATATTAGTAATTAAAAATAGAAGTTATTTTCTAGAAAATAAATCTTGAATTTTGTTTTGATTACTATTTAGAATTTACTTGTTTCTTTTTATGAAATCAAGTATTCCACAGTACCTTCGAGATATTGCACATTCATTCCATAATCAATTTTTATATTAAACAAGGAGAATTTTGAAACTTCCATTTGATCCATATTTAACATTTGCCATTAAAATATAAAGACTGAAAAGGTTCAGTACATTTTACACGAAATATGGACAAACATTAGTCCATTACTACTATGGTGTTCAAATCTAGCAGATCTTTAATACTGTCGTGAGTTCAATCCTCGTTTGCTACAGTGATTTTATGTCAGACAAAACTTATCTTAGTAAATACGCTGACATTCGACTTAAAATTGAACTTTTAAAAAGTTAAATAAAAATTTAATTTTTCAAAACATATCGAACATTTTGATAAATTTCACAAAACCAGCTTAATTTGTGAGATTAATTACAGATGAAAAAAAAGTCTGTATATGTAATACATACAACATATTAAAATAATAATAATAATAATAATAATAATAATAAAATCGCATGATTAGTCTTAGGTATGACGATAAACTACATCCGGCATCAAGGCCCCTGATCGGGAGATTGGAGGTTTTGAGGAGCGTGGAATAACCTCTTAATTGGTGTTGTTCCAAAGTCCACTCTGATCCTGGGTGGTAGCACCTGTTAGGGTGCCAGTTATGGGCAAATAGTGAACCCCTAAAAAAACATTATGAAAGTATAAAAATACATTTTTATATAAAAAGAAATGACCAACAATAAATATTTATAGTAAAATGGCCAAAAATACACATCTATAGTAAAATGATCAATGATACATATTTAAAGAAAAATGACCAGCAATACATTTTATAGCAAACTGACCAATAAAGCATTTTATCTTTAGTTGAAGGTATACAATTTCGTTCAAAATATTTGAATTTGGGTATTAAATAAACCATAGAGGTTGATATGCTGTTAAACAAAACCAATCAATATAGCATGATAATAACCTATTTCACTGACATTGTAAAATAAAGCATCTCAATAAAAGAATTTGACAAATTTTCAAAATGCGAGGACCTAGAAATAAAAACTGCAAAAATGTGCCATTTAAGTACAGTTGCTATTTCAATAGCAATAGGACACTAGGAATTATTAAAAAAAGGATTATAATATCCATATTTTAAAAAAATCCAAAGAACCCCATTATAATATGAGATACAAAAATTTGTTTTTATGAGCACCGCTTACATAGTCAGAGAATATAAAACTTTCCCAATCTGATATCATTGTGAGAAAAACTCCCAATAACTTTCCTTAGTAAAACACACTAGTAAAGAATTGAATTAAACACTTGATTGGTTGATTCGTTTTCTACAGCTTATCAACCCATTGCAGGTTATTTAAAGCCAGAAGATATTTTTTTACATTGTAAAATTTTTTAAAGATAATAATGATGTAGTTATACAAGTCTTATTAATTAAACCATAGCTCTGGGGAGAGCAGGTAAATTCATACCTTCCCAATTGTATTTGGGCGTAAGTGAATATAACAAACCTAACGGGAACTGGAACTGAGCTCTCTGATTAACAACTGAACTGTCACACCACACTCACACCCAAGATTACATCACCTGGTATTCCCAAGCGGTCACCCATCTTGGTATTGTCCAGACTCGACGTTACTTAGCTTCGGTTATCGTACGGAATCGAGGTTTCAACGTGCTGTGGCCATAAACAAATCAGGAAAATTGGGAATAATAATAATAATTATTATTATTATTATTAACAATTTCGACAATATGTCTGTCTTCGTCAAGTTATGTTTAAAAATTGCATAAAAGATATTAAAAAAGCAAGTCTTTTTATGAACGTCACTTGTCTTGATAAAAACGGCTGTACTGGTAATCAACGCGATAAAATGAATAAAACGTAGCCAACGGGAATGGAATGCAACTGAAACATGAGTAACATGATGGGGCCATGTTCATTTTGAAATTCGGCACTTCGATGTGGTGTAATGGTTAGCAAATTTGTCTCGCTAGATCAATTACGGCCTTGTGCCACATCTACGCTACACTTAGAATATCATCATACTCATTTTAAAATTTTCCGTTAGTCGATTAGTTAGTAAGAGCGATTAATCAATTAAATTTTATGGAACTCTCCTGTTGCAAATTACTAACGTTCCCCGGTAGTGGGATGTTGGTAATTTGCATATGTAATTGTCTTCATGCAAAGTAATCTCGAAGTGTAAAAATCGCTGATTTTGTGTGACTAAACATAAAATAAATTAGTTTAGTTTTAATTTGTGTGACATATGAGTAAAGATAGATTCATAATATTAATTTGAAGAACACGGTTTTCTAGAAATAAGTTTATAAATACTTAGAGTTGTTATAACAAAGATGAAATCCAAAGACTTACCAATTAATTTGTGATTGGAAAATATATCCGATTAGAAGAAGCTGCAATTCAAGACATGCACTTCTATGTGTTTCGGAAATGTTACAACGGTAAGGTCCAAGAAATGTAAGCTTTTTCTCATAAAAATAACTGCAGTAGTGTAACGATGTCTAAGACTTAAAGATGTGTCCATTCCATTGTATACTACTCAGTATTTATTAAGCTAAGTCTGGTACAAGTTCACAGCAATAAGGAAGCACACACTAAATATCTGAGCTATTTAAAAAAAATGCCAGGCGGCTACAGAGAACTAATCTAATGAAAATAGATAAATCTATTAGATTAAAAATGGCGTTGGTCTGTGAATGTTTTGGCATAGTTATTGTGAGTTCTCTTCCTAGGTCGGACAGTACAAACCCAGACTCACTGGAAACAGAGTGAGCAATAACACAACCGTACTAAAAAGAAGATATCCACACACATGGAAAACGGAATGAGAACGATATACTGTAGTGAGTGCGAAATAATAATAATTCTCTTTGCCCACTCCCTTCAAATTCAGAGGACTGAGGAAAAAGACGGAAAGAAATTCGCGAGCCTATGTGAAATTGTTTTGGTTCAATGAAAACCTTGTCTTCACAGAAGTTTTTCGTTGAGCTAAAAAGAAAAAAGAAAAGTCGTGAGCCTATGCGAAATTCATTTTAGTATAAAATGAGAAAAATTAAATTAATAAAAAAAGTGTCTGGAGTCACGTGAAAGCTTTCGTTTCTCTTCACCGCGTCTATCATGAAGTTTTCTCAAGTATCAAATTACTCGCCAATTATATTATCGGCCTTTAACCATGCATACGAGACTTCAAAGAATTTTCTATTAACAATCCAAGAAAGCTAAGTATTTCAAATTATTTCTCTTCGTCTACTTTTGAACATATGCTAACCATATATTTCTTCGGTAAGCAACAAACTCTCTTACCTTTGATTTGAATATTTTTTTAATATTATTTTGTGTCAGATCATTTATCGGTTGTGCGAACATTTCATCTTCATGACAATTCGTTAAAACTACGGACTTTAAAAAATTTCTGATTTGTTTTCCTGAAACGAACTACTGACACAACTTCAAGCGTGTAAATTCGTAAATAAATTCCTTATCTTTAATTTATTATTCTTTTGTTAAAATTACCCGTGTGTTTTCTCGTTATTATCAGCCATTCATTATTGTTGGCTTGGGTAAATCAACTGTTCATTTGAACCCCTAAGTCACACGCCATTATAATACCACTAATTAATTAATTAAATATATATAGAGATTAAATATAGGCTTTAGTTCGAAATTCTTAGGTTACACCTGAAGAAAGCCGGGTGTACAACGGCTGAAACGTTATGGCATCAAAAAACAACAAAGTTGAGTACATTAATTCGAATGTAAATGAATAACTCAAGTCTTCATCGGAGAAATCCAGATAGAATTAAAGATGTGGTTTATTTTCAGTTCATTATTTATTTTTTTTTATATTTTAAATGAAATCATAAAAGTAAAAAAGTATTCCGCAATATTTTTAATCTTTCATGAAAGAAATTACCAAAAATGGTTATTCAAAACACAATCGGGATCGTCTGTCATAATAATTTTGTCTGTACTCCGTAAAGTTGTCAGACGATAGCTTCGTTGTTAGCTATGTTCAACACGCATGCGCGTAATTGTCTGGTGCTATTTTTTCACTTGCTTTTTGTTTTTGTTTTTTACATTTTATGACGATTTTTCATCACTACTTATCATCTTGAAATACGGCCTGTATTTTATGGGTATTAAAAAACGAACGGATCAATTAACACACCAGAAGAAAGTGGGGGAATCGCTTTATTACTTTTGGAAATCATAAACTTCTTCATTCGCCACGCTTTCCACAAGAAAATGTGAAACTTGGCCGTGTGCCTCAATGAACCATTGGCGTGTATCGACAACGTAGTTATTTATGATTTCTGGGCTACTTATAAATTTATTTATTTATAACATGGAGGTTTCGAATGAAGTGCTTACACGTTTAAAAAAAAATGTTTGAAATGAAAATATTAATTCCTCTATTAATACATGGTTTTTCTACCTGGCCCACACTATATTTCAAATTAATCTTTCTTATACAGAATTTAGATTTTGTGAAAATGGTTAATTAAAAAAACATACACTTTGGTAAATAATTTAAAAATAGTTCCATTGGAATTTAGGAAGATTATAATTTTAAATCTATATTTGCATATTTCAGATGGAATTTTCTCATTCTCTCTCCATTCACTAAGTCGGGCACTTTATCGCAGGCCCCCAAAGTTAACCGATATACGAAACTGCACCTAAAAGAAAAAAAAACTTACTCGCACATCTCGTTTCCACCGTTTCCTTCACTATCGTTCATTGCCTGGTGTTTGCACCTTGATTCATAGAAGATACTTCTCATGAAAAGTAGAGTCCTGTGTTCAGTTTCCAAAAATTTTTGGTCAGCACCTCGGATAATGAACATTTTCGGGTAGTATATGAGTAAATACACACACATACACACACATCATTCCACACATATATATATATATATATGATCACGTCGGCGTCACGTACAATGTTGGGAAAAACGTATTCCTAAAACAGAGTATTTTGAATGAAAAATGAAAAGAATTTTATTTTAATCTAAAACTTATATGTATATTGAAACGGAACGCTGATCTTGAAAAAATTCAGTTATCTGTTTTATCAGTCTTTTTTATGTCCATCGTCTTTTCATGTTGAATTAAATATAGTCTAATGTTAATTATGTTTTTATGAATATATCATGAAGATGGTCTACTAGACCTAGAAACGTCCGACGTTGACATTATATTAACATTAAAATAGCATAAATGCATATTAGATTTTTGTTTGTTTTTCCGTATATTTTCTTCATACTGTCAGATCTATATCCATATATTTGCTTACATATATATATGTGTGTGTGTATGGCGGAAAGAGTGGTCAATATTGAAGTGAGAGCATTTGAATATGTAGATAGTGTGTCGATAGATAATTATTTAAAAATTGCTTGAGGTGTGAACTTGATAGTCCCCATGTATGGTACACATACTCACTCTCTATCTCTCTCTCTCTCTTTTATATATATATATATATATATATATATATATATATATATATATATATATATATATATATATATAATGATAATGTTGGTAATCAGTGTGGATATTTCCAAAAGGATATAGATCCAGGGAGAGCTCTATGTCAGAGACAGAGAAATAATATTATTATAAAAAGTATGAACCTCAATGAAATTGATATAATCTCATATCTTTTTAAGGGTTCGTGTTATTCTAATATTTCCTACTGGATGCGTTTTTTAAATTTATGAACGAATTTACGGAATGTCAGATTCTTTAAATACCTGATTAATCAATTTACACTTTTGTCCACCCGCCACCTCACTACTCATTTTAAATATTGCAATTGATTTGTCTTTCGATTTTATTCTATTTCTTTATGCATTATTTATTTCTTTGGTGCGTGGAAAGACTTACACCATAAAAACATTTCGCACTGTTTCTAATTAGAAAAGAAGACCAGCGTATTTGGTTTATTTACTGGAAATTTTAACAAATTTTTTATTAGTTGCGGGAATATTTTACTAAACAAATCAGTTTTGTTAAAAGAATACTTAGCATCTATTTGCATTAAATTTAAATGTATTAAAAAATACTGCCAAAGTAAAAAAAAAAAATAGCTTTATTGTGTTTTCTGTTTGTGTTTAATTTTATTTTGTGACGTTCACGTTTAAGTTAAAAGATCCAAAAACGTTCATTAATGCTTAGTATTTCGCGGCCATTACTGAATAGATGTTTTAATATATCTCCGTATTTAATTTGAATGGATTTACTGTACGTTTTAATGTTACAAAAAAGAAAAAAGAAAATGGCGACTGTTCACCTTTCGTTATTGTAATTAGTAATTTTTTTCTTTTTACTTTTTTGAGAGGACATTTAATGCTTATGCCTTCTTTATAAACATCAGTAGTCAATATTTGATTTAAAACAATTTAAGAATTATTTTAAAAGTAATTATATTTTATGTTACCAAAGTTGTTTTGATTTTCTGTGTGAATTTCTTATTGGTTTCTTTGCAGGATTTTTCTTTTATGAAAAAATGTTGCAACGTCTTTAATCCGGTACAATCCAACCACTTTAATCCGGTACAATCCAACCACTTCAACCGGTACCGTGGTCTGATAACTCCCATGGCCGGGCTTTTTTTTTTTTTTAATCAGCCGCCATTAGTTCGTTGAGCGGCTACAAGGTTTA